AATTTATATGTATATATATATATATATAATACATATAATTTATATGTATATGTATATATATAAATGCATATATATATATATATATATATATATATATATATATATATTTTATATATATATATATATGTATAAATATAATATATATATATATATATATATATATATATATTTATATATATATATATTAATATATATATATATATATATATATATATATATATATATATATATATATATATATATATATATATATATATATATATAATATGTATATATATATATATATGAATGTATATATATATATATAAAATATATATATAAATATTATATATATATATATATATATATATATATATATATATATATATATATATATATATATATATATATATATATATTTATATATATATATATTAATATATATATATATATATATATATATATATATAATATGTATATATATATATATGAATGTATATATATATATATAAAATATATATATATAAATATTATATATATATATATATATATATATATATATATATATATATATATATATATATATATATATATATATATATATACATATATATATATATATATATAATACATATAATTTATATGTATATGTATATATATATATATATATATATATATATATATATATATATTTACTTGGTTCAAAATCGAATTTTTAACATTGATATAGGAAACGTCCGTGTGTTATCAGATACGCTAGAATACTTTGAGAAAATAATAAGCGTTCGTGATTACCCTACTAAGATCGTTCGTTATTTCCCCGCGACCCAAACAAATGAAATTAAAGGAATATATTGGAGGAGTATTAACATACCCTAAATATTAAAAGTGTAAAAAACTTCATGATTATGATACTTTGCAACAACATAAAAAAATTTGCGGTTTTATATACATAGTATATCCAATACATAAATGTGTTGCAAGTAAAAATTACATGAAACTAAGAGAAAAACTTAGAATCAATCTATCGTGAACAACTTGCGCATCTATACTACACTATTGCACGTCTGGAACTGAGCATGTAACCCACTCTCACCAGAAAAAAAAAGTTAGTCAACTATCCTTTCCTAACACGCCGTAACGGCCTTGTTCGGAGTTACCCCGCGTTCGCCATTACCCGACTCTCCCCTATGTTTTAATAAATTTAACAAAATTGCGCTTAAACAGGAGCAATATTTTATTATGCTGAGGTTGGTTATTTGAATGACGTTTCATCTTAAACACAGAAATAAGCAAACAAATAATCAGGTCAAACAAATAACTCTTACCCATTCTTTTGAATTTGCTTCCACCCAGTCTCTTCTAAATCAATTTTTTTTTAAATATTTAAACTTATATTAAAAATCAAAAGAAAAGATTTTTGTAATATAAAACTTTAATATAAATAAGGATTATCTTATAAATGCTTTTTTTGTTTTACCTATTCCAGGTATACTTGATATGGGTATTTCAGATACTCCATTTTTAAAACATGTCAATCCAGGATATACTTTTTTTATTTCCTCCTGTTTTTCTTTAATCAATTGACGAACAATCTAAAAAAAAATTCAAATATTACAAATATACTTATAGTTAAAAAATGAATGAAAAAAGAAAACAAAGTGCAACCACTGATGTATTAGGTAAATATTTTATAAAATTTTTTTTACCTCTTTTTGCTTTTTAATAACTAAAGAAAACTCTCTGTAAGGTATTTTTGGATTTAAGGAACACTAAAAGAAAATAAAGAAAAATTTATGTAAGTTTTGGATTTAGGGAAACACTGAAAGAACATATAAAACGAATTTAACTCTTTATCTGCCCCATACAACATAATATTGTTCGTTCTATATGACATTTCTACTATAAAAAATAAGCAATGTATACCCAATAAATCTAATATTTTTATTTATGTGTACGTTTGGTCACATATTACTTTCTAAAAAATTTATGATAAGTGTTTGTGCGACAGTTGCATCACTCTGAAAAAATATTTGTGGTCATGACAGTCACAAAACCACTTGTTTAAGAGTCTCTCAAAAAAAAATGTTGCGTTTTGTTTCTCCCTAAATATTGGTAAATCGAGTTTTTTTTTGTAAGAAGATTCACTTTTTTATCCTCTACAAAGAATTTTTGATTTTACTAAATTGTTATTTTTGTTATTTTGTTTCATTTTAAATAATAAAAACTATTAAAAAAATGTAGCAAAATTTCCAAAAATTGATGAAACATATTTTAATTTTACAGTTACTCTTTACACAGTTAAAAAATGGTACAAAATGATCAAAGGTACAAAATGATCAAAGATTCAAAATGATCAAAGATAGTTCAGATTTCATCACTGGTTAAACACAAATTGCACAACAACAACAAACACTTGCAAAGTTAAAGTCCATTAAAATCAAAAGGTGTCCTTAAAAACCCTTAAAAATCCTTAAAAATCCTTATTAAAACCCTCAGTCAATCTTATCATTTAGATACACAAACTTTGACTAACAAAGCCACTGCACAAAATAAACAAGTTAAGGATGAAAACAAGAGTCGTAGTGGATTAAAACTTTGTACCATTTGCTTACAATACAATATTACTGATTTTTTAGTTAATTTTTGCCCGCTGTAAATTTTTTTATTGTTTATTAAACTCTCTGATAATTCCAAAAAATGTGAAAGTTTTTTCTGTATGATTGACTGTTTTAAAGTTATAACCATTTCAGCTTTAACTGGTAACTGAGTGCTAATACATCATCAGTGCTCACAAAACATGTGAAAAAAGTTGTGGTTTACAAGAAAGATAATAACACGTATATTGTAGACAGAAAATTACGTCATTAACAAATACTCTAAATATGAGATTTTCTGTTTACTCGTCATAATTTCATTTTACTCGTCATATTTTCTGTTTACTCGTCATCACTTTTTATAAAATATATAAAAAACATATTGCATGCCAGTTATCAAATATGCATTTAAAGCTTGCGCTTAAAACCATATTGACAACTAAATAATATCAAAGTTCTCCTAAGTTTTGCTAAGTATGAGGTAGGGTACGCTGTGGTAGGGTTGAGCTTTTTTGATAAAAACAGTAAATGAAAAACATTGATGTACCATTGATGTAACTTACACTGAGTTACACTAATTAGGATTAAGCTTTCCACCAAAAATAAGGTTAAAAAAAATAAAAAGGAAAAATGCTAATAGCATAAGTTACAGTATGTTACATTGATGTTTTTCATTCATTTTTCTGTTTTTACCATAAAGACTCAACCTTAGTGTGTGGATATTATATGGGCAAAAAGCAGGTATTACATAATGTTGCAAAAGGTACCATATCGTGAATAGTGTGGGCAAAATATTTTGGAACCAAAAACACATAAGAAGCTTTTGTTTACTTCTCTTAGACTCAAGCATTGTCCCGTGCAATAGCGACTGTTCATAAATAGCTCAAAACCAAGTATCAAAGCAGTGATTCTCCAAAATGTTATTCACTCCATCTTTTGCAATATCAAATTTTTTGCAGATATCAGCCTTTTACACACTTCGTACAAAAGAAAAAAATCTATGATAATGTCAAAAAACTCAAAATTAATGACAAAATTAATTATTTTAAATTCAATTGAAGTTTGTGGTGATTTCAAGATGTTTGTTTTCTTGCTTGATTTGCAGGGGGTAACACAAAGCATGTTTCCTTTTTATAAACAATATAAATTTACATATAAAAAAAAAAAAACATAAAAAAGATCACAAAAACATTTTTTATAAAGACCATATAAAAATTTTCCATTTTCGATTCTGTGTCAAAATTAATAATAATTTATTAATGCTCTAAATTAGAAATATAACCAAACGAATTAAATAAATATAGCTAAACAAATACAATGATTTCATTTCTAATCATACTTTAATTAACAAAATATCAATTTTATTAAAAATCATTTAACTAAATATTAATTTTATTTTAAATGGTATATGAACAAATCTAAAGTTTTAAAAATTAAAAAAACAAGTAAAGCTCTGGTAACATGATATAATCTTGTTTTGAAACAACAACAACAACAACAACAACAAAACTTACATGCATGAGTGTTGCACCTTCATACTCTTTGATATATCCAGTATATTCACATTTTGCCAACTTAATATCTTTAGAAAATCCCTAAAAAAAAATTTTCAAATTGTAAACAAATAAACACATAAAAACACATAAACATACATGTGTGCTTTGTATGTCTATCTACAATTATTGTTAATACAACATATGTTGTTATCAAATATCAACATATGTTGTTACTAGTAAGCAATCTTATCAGTAATAATTTGTATAAATATTTTTTTGTGTCAATATTAATTTTAGGTTTAAAAGTAAGACAAAATAAAACTTTAAAGGAAGATGACATTTTTTGCACAAATTTAATTTTCTCTTAATTCTTTCTCATATTTTCCCATTCCTAATTCGGTATGATGTCATTATAAGGTTATATGCAAAATACTTACCTATCATAATATAGATTTTTTATTTTTAATTAGGTTTTTACTATGTCTTAATAGGAATTTTCTATATTTACCTGTTTTTTAAAATAGCCAATTGCATATTCATCAGCATAAGTTAGAAAGTTAAGTATACCATTTTGTGTGTGATAATCTTTAAGATGGTTCATCATGTGAGTTCCATAACCCTAAACAAATGGAGCAATTACACGATGGACAAATAAAAGAAATAACTGTACACAATTACAAAAAATTTGCAATATATATATATATATATATATATATATATATATATATATATATATATATATATATATATATATATATATATATATATATATATATATATATATATATATATATATATATATATATATATATATATATATTTATATTTATATTTATATGTCACAATTTCTTTTGATTATCTTTCAATGATTTTTTAAACGATAATTATGTATAAAACTTTTTAAATTTTTGGGTTAATTCTAATGCTATATCAGCTTTATATAGCTCTCTAATGATATATCACACTTAATGGTTTTTTCAATTAAAGCCACCCTATTAATATTGTATTAAAAAATGTTTCAAAACTATAAAGTCATTTAATAACTTAATAACTCTTAATAAACTAAATACATATACGAAAATTTTGAAAATTGGTACTTGCATTAACAAATATAAATTACCAATATATTCTATAAAAAAAATCAATTTCTAACTGGAAATTGATTTTTTAAATTGATATTTAAATTGGTAAATTTTTGACACATCTGAGGAAAAAAATGAGTGGAAATTAGTATCACAAAAACTCAAGTAAAAAATAGTCTACCCAAAAATAACACAAAAAGTCGACAAGAAATAGTTTAACAATCCTGAAAAACTACAAGCTTTTAAATGATATAAAAGATTCACAGAGAGTTGGCAGGCTGTCAAAACTTTTAGGAGTTCTCTTAATAAAAAAGGTAATAATTGTTATGTTGCTGCCAGAAAACTGCTTTTAAGGGTGACAGATAGGATTAAAAGATTAAAAGAAGTTGTGGCCATGAGTTAGAAATCATTATTTATATAAGAACTCCATTTTTATATTATTTATTAGCAACTAAAAATAATTACAGTTTCATGATTCAGTGCTTAGCATACTGTCCTTTGGCTTTCAGAACAGCCGATATTAAATTAGGCATGGAACAGGCTAAAGATTTGTAGTACTCAGGTGTTATACTGGTAGCCCATACACACTTGATGGTATTGACACCTTCTGCTTCATCATTGTCCATGTAATTTGTAACTTCCCAATTTGGTAGTCCTGGTCAGAGTCTTGGATACTGATGACTGGAAAACATTGAGAATCTGTGCAATTTTTTGTTTAAACATGTTCTGCTGGCTCAGAAGTTGGTCCAAATGAACTTCTAATTGACACAGAAAATGAAAGCAGTCAACAGCCAAATATTCAATATCAGTCTATTAATCATAAAGTTTACTGTCAGTTATGGCTTGTGATTGGTGTGAATAAATCATTTATTACTGTCTAGAAAAAGCATATGGAATGTTTATTGACTTCTTAATTTTTTTGATTAGAGAGATACAGACAGCTGAGGTGTTGAAAATAGTTGATATAGTGATCCCTAGTGTTCAATAAATTAACAATTTGATGTACTTTTTATTATGTTGGGTCAGTAATATCAAAATTTTTAAAATTTATGACTGATTTTAAACTTTTGTCCACAAATGTATATAGTGTAACAAAAGACTTAACTGGTCAATAGAAGATTGGTCTAAGGTTATTTTTAATGATGAATCAAATTTTGAGGTGGTTAATCATAAATCAAAAAATTAACATTAAAAAATTAGCTTCAGAGAAATAAAAGAAAAGATTTTGTGTAACCAAGAGTACAAGATGGTGCCCACTCATTGGTATGCATATCTTATCAGGGGATAGGATTTTTAAAATTTGTACAGGAAGAATTAACCAGTATAATTACAAAAACACCTTGGAAATCAAGTTTTTACCTAATGGTATATTATTTCTTAGAATTAGTAAAAACTAGATTTTACAACAGGATAGCGCAACAGCACATGCTGCCAACTTGATCAAAAAGTGGTTTTAAAGGCAACATACTTCTCTTCAACCCCGGCTAGCACAATCACCAGATATTGAAAATATTTGGTCATAGATGGACAAGAAATTATAGAGTGAAGACTAAAGCATTGCACAGTTAAAACTTAAACTGAAAAATATTTTGGAACAAAATTTTAAAATGAATTATGTATACATCTGATTGAATCTATGGCTAAACAAATTCGATCCGTCTAAAAGCATGTGGTAGTCATGCAAAATACTGAGTTAAAGCGCAACCTTATATTATTGACACATTTTGAAGCTTTTTAAAAAAATAAAAAAAAGGAGATTTTTTCTTAACTTTTCTATTAAAATAGTTTTGATTCTCTTATTTGATTGACTGTGATCCAAAATAAATTAATTTTTATAATTTTTTTAAAATTATTTTATATTAAATTTAAAACACTTTAAAAAATATATATATTCTGAAAAATTAAATTTTTGATGTATATTTTTAATGATGACATGGTAAAAAATTTATAAACGTATATTTTTATGCAGTAGTATCAACCAAGATGGCCAAGTGGTTAAGGTATTGGACTTAAATTATTACTAAATTTGTGTCTAAAATGGGTAAATCTGCAGTTAAGCAGCATAAAATAATATTAAAACTTTAAAAAAAACAACAACGATGGAAAGCATTTTTTGAAATTCATTTGTAAAAGACTGGTTTTAAAGCAGTTGTTAATGTTACAGTTAACTTAAGTACTATGACTATGTCTATAATGACAAAAGCATCAAAATCTTATTATTTAAGGTAAGACCATATATATTATATATATATATATATATATATATATATATATATATATATATATATATATATATATATATATATATATATATATATATATATATATATATATATATATATATATATATATATATATATATATATATATATATATATATATATATATATATATATATATATATATATATATATATATATATATGTATATATATATATATATGTATATATATATATATATATATATATGTATATATATATATATATATATATATGTATATATATATATATATATATATATATATATGTATATACATATATATATATATATATATATATATATATATATATATGTATATACATATATATATATATATATATGTATATACATATATATATGTATATACATATATATATATATATATATATATATATATATATATATATATATATATATATATATATATATATATATATATATAATATATATATATATATATATATATATATATGTGTGTATGTATGTATACAAGGGCTGTCTAGAACTAAATTCTTGCCTATATTCAGAAATTGAGGGTCTTTTTTATTTTATCAATTTTTTAAAATTTACTTTTTACTGCAAAGATAATAACTATACAACGAATCGGTTATTTCTTGATGAATAGTGTTTTTTTTGTTTCTTTATGAATAGTGTTTTTTTTTCCTAATTAATTTTTATTTTTTAATGTTTTTTTAAAATCTATTTATTTTAACTTTTATATATAACTTATTTTAAACATAAACTGGTACAGCTGTAGATACACAGCAGGGTGTACATACATTGTACATACAGGGTACATACATTGACTTAAAAAGTCATTTTTAATATTGTTAATTTTATTTATTAATATTAATTAATTTCAAATTATTTTATTTCGGTTTTGCTTTTAAATAATTGATTTGAAGCAATACTTTATGGAAAAACTTTAAAACTTGCAGGATTTGCATCAATTTAAAATTTTATTACTATTATTTTCTAAATAAGCTTTTAGTTGTCAAGCAAAAGCTAGTAACACCTTGCAAGGACAGATAACACCTTGCAAGGACAGGTAACACTAAGCAAAAGCAAGTAACACTAAAAAAGGCATGTAACACTGAGTAAAGCTAAGTAACTAGTTAATATTAACATAAAATTTTTATTTTGTAATACTAATATATTAATACTGTCCTAAATTTTTTAATTATAAATTTTATTATTAACAATATTAGATCTTATGATTTTCATTTGGACTACAACTACATCTTATAAAAAATTTTCAATCTTTTTTTAGAAAAATTTCTAAATAATTAAAATTTTGCAAAAAAGAACTTAAAACCTTCAATAAAAACCAAATCACACTAATGTACAAAAACGTATACAAAATTTATTTTTTTAAACAGTGATTTTGTTACAAGCCTAAAACTCACATTCATTATTTGAATGGAAACAAAAAATTCAAACTTTATTTTTTTTTACAAAATTGTATAAATACATCATAATAACAACACTTGTTTTTTAAAAGTATGAAATCTAACTTTAAATTTACTTCATAAATTTTATAATTTTATTTTTATTTTTGTAATCTCTTAGTTGAACTAATTAAAAACCTCTTTATATATTTTTAAAAATTCTTATTCAAATACATCTGAGGTATTTCTATTTGGAAGTTATAAAAAAAAATAACTTAATTGAAATTTTTGAACAGAAAAAACTAAAATATATAAATCCATAAAAATATAAAAACTACATAAAAATATTTTCACCTTGACTTGTTCATTTGATGATACAGCACAAAAAACAATCTCAGTGAAATTTTGTGTGGGAAACATTCGGAAACAAACACCACCGATTGGACGACCATCTTTTATTAAGGCCAATGTTCGATGCTTGCTAAAAAAATAAAAAATAAACCTGTTAAAAATATTTCATATCTTACATCAAATTCTCTACAACTGCAAATACGCAACTAAAAACTCAGCTCTGAGTAGAAAGCTAACACTTCTCTAACTTTTACTTATAATTTTTTACAATCCATAGTGTTGAATCTTACGGATCAAAAACAAGGCGGGTTATGTATTCTTTAGGCATTCTTGGCAATTGATATGAAAATACATTCTGTAAACCAATTAACCAAATTGTTGTTTGGCGAGATGGTTTCTTGGTTAATGAATTTCCAATAACATGAAACTCAATAAGACCACGACGCTCTTCACTGCGTGCTGCCTCATCACGAGCAGTCTGTGATGGATAAAATCCTCCCTAAAAAAGCAAAATTACAAGTTTTATTTTTTTAAATATTTTTTTTTGCATTGAACATTATTCATCTGTATGATTTTTGTATAAGAATTATTTTAACATGTGACATATCTATCTATACGCTATATGTTTCAATATAATATGATCTTAGCCCTTACCAGTCATATGAAACGTTATGTTACAAAATATTTTTTTACATATTCAAATAAATATGGTCTTAGGCTTAACCAAGAATATGGAAGATTATGTTACAAAACATATTCTAAATGTACCTGAGGCCCAACCATTTTGGAGGGATCAGTAATAGTTTCAATTACTCTAGCCAAGATTTCCATTGGTACATCTCCTATTATTACAAAATATAATTAATAAACAATTAAAACTTTGAAGTAAAAATTAAAACAGATAAAAAAAATCATAACAAAATGCATAACAAATCATAACAAACCAATAACCTATTGGGCTAAGCAACTTCATCTTCTTTGTTACAGGAGTTTCTACAATGTTTGACTTTCTTTTTAAAATTTCTAGAACAAGTAAATAAACCATCAAACAATATAGATATAATTATAATAATTAAATTTAATAATATTAAACATTTATAATAAGAGGACACCAAATAAAAATAAAAATAATTTATAAGAATGGTTCCACTCAAACAAAAATCTGATCAAAGAGGTGGCACTATCCTAGTAACAATATAATAAAAATAAAAGTAATAAATACAATGAAAATAATAATAACTGCAATAAAAAAAAATAATAACAACAATAAAAATAACAATAGTAACTAAAATAATGATGATAATTAAAATAATAATAATCAATTAATTAATATCATTTAATGACACATTTTTTCTATTAAACATTTTTAAAGCTCATTGTTTTTTACTTTTTTGTATTTTTCTTTCTGTAAAACCATTTACTCCTATTTCTTCTTTTTTTTCTTTCTCTTTTTTGTATTTATTTGTTTTTTATTCTCTATTTCTTTTCATTTCTGCACTTATTCAAATTATTTATCAAGATATTAACTAAAAACTTCATGATTTTTAAAATATTTTTTGTGAAGTAAACTTCCGGCTTATTAAAAAAAAATCTGGTCTGATTAATGCAATTTTATTTGACGTCAAAAGAAATAAGTATTTGGATTTGAAAAAATCAATGAGAGATTTGAAAGATAAAAAGTAAAGTATACATCACTTCAATAGATCTTTAATATTTTAAGGATGTTAAATTAAATGAATAATGCTCAAAACTTAAAATATTATACATTCCTTATCTATAAATTTTATTATAAACTAATGTACAAATATAAGTTCATAAAAATGAAAACCTCAAACCTGAAGAAGATACTTCAGGTAAATTTAGTGGTGTTATTGACTTTGAACTTGCTGTTGTTATTGAGGTTATTGTAGTTGGAGCCTTTGCTAAAGATGCTATTGTTTCTGTAGGTAATGTAGTTACTGAAGATTTAGCATCTGGTTTGTTTTCAGTCAAAGTTTCTTTTGGAGCAATGGACTCTGAGCTTTTTTCAGATTTTATTAAACTAATATTAGATGTAACTTTTGATGGACTAGTAACAGGTTCAACTTTTATTGGGTTGGTGACAGCTTTTGTGCTTGATGGCTCGACTGAAGATATTAGTAAACTAGACAAAACCATTAAAAGAATTAAAATTTGATTGTTATAACTATTGTTATAATTTATTCACAAATATATATTTTACAGCACATAACAAATTTTTACATTTTCATGACATAATACTTATGTGATACTAATGAATTACAAATAAAAAGTTGTTACATGACCTCACTTTGTGAACTGGTACTAACAATTAACAAATACGTGTTACAATATAATATTGATAAAACAAGAATTTAATTAAATTATAATCAAAAACAATTAATTCAATACAGCAAAATGCAAACATGCTGATACAACAAAATACTATTTAAACAGAAAAACAATAGCAATAATAAAAACGCTCACTAAAAAAATAAAAATATAAACCAACTTTTGTTTGCATTCTGTATTTTCATTTATTTGAATAGAAGTTTGTGTTAAATCATTAAATAACTGTGATGATGAGGTATTTGTTTCTATCGGATTTATTATTGGGTTAATTCTACTGCAGTCATCATTCCATATTGGTGAAAACTCAGACTTTATTTCTTCCTCGAAAAGACTAAGAAACCTTTAGAGAAACACAATTTTAAAATAACAAATACAAAAAAGATATACTCTTTATCTGATAATATTAATACACTAATTTAATAGTAGTAATAGTCGACTTAGGTCATTTTCTAGGCTTTTCTATTTTAAAGTAGTTTCTAGACTTTTCTATACGCGTTTTTTTTTTTTAATTTCATTTACTAATAACCTGTATTACGGGTTGCTTACTGCTAGTATAATATAAAAGCAAACATTTTTGATGAATATTTTAATCATAAGAATTTAAACAATATGAACATAAACAATTTAAACATTATATGAAATATATAAAATGTAATAATATATAATAAATTTATATATATAATAAATGCATAGTAATAAATATATAATATATATTTCATATTTAACTCAAACCATTATTTACTAATATACATTAATAAATAATGCTTTGAATTTTTATTTATGTAAAATTATTATTTTACATATGCTCTTTAAGATTCCTTTAGAGAAACTCATATCTAAATAAAATCTCCAAACATTTTAAAACTCGTATGCTTCTCTCATATATACAAACAAAAGTCAATTAAAAGTTTTTGCATTCTGCATATATATATATATATATATATATATATATATATATATATATATATATATATATATATATATATATATATATATATATATATATATATATATATATATATATATTTGTGGTGGCCAAAAGTCTTGGAACCAAACATTTAACGACCAAAAAAATTTATTTTTGATCTAAAGTATAAATTTTGAAGGGGTGATGCTTTTGTTTTTATATAGCAATGTTTATAGTTACATATTTGTATATTGCAAATTTATTATCATTTTTTATTATTCATAAGCAATTTATCAGCTATATTATGCCAGAACTTTCACCTAAAAAAAGAGGAATTATTGCTGCATTATATGAACAAGGTTTAGTTCAAAAAGAAATATCTGAAAAGCTTGGTTGTTCATTATCAACTGTAAGTAGAACTTTAAAAAGGCATAAAGAAGAGCCCCAATTAAATTTTACTTCAAAGATGAGATCAGACAGGCCCAGAGCAACCACCTCAAGAACTGACAAACTTATTGGCCGGATCAGCCATGCAAATCCACAGCTATTTGCACACGAGATTTCAAAAGAAATTTTTATTGAGAAAAAAGTTAGTGACCGAACAGTTAGAAGAAGGCTTTTGGTTGATTTCAAAATGAAGGCATGCAAGCCAGCAAAAAAACCTTTTTTATAACTAAAAAACCTAAAAGATCGAAAAACATTTTGTCAGCGCAACAAAAATTGGACTGGAGAAAATTGGTCTAAAGTTCTTTTTTCTGATGAAACATGTATTAAACAATTTAATGTTACAAACAACTTTGTAAGAAGACCAAAAAAACTGTAGATATATGCCAAAATATACAGTCAGCAGTGTCAATGCTCAGTGTCTAGTATGGTTTGGGGTGCTATTTTTGCCAAAGGACGTGGGCCATTATGGATAATGCCCAAGAATACCACAATAAACAGCAAAGTCTATTTGGATGTTATGAAGGAGAGGTTGCCACCTTTCATGCAGATCTTGAACTGCACTTATTTCCAACAGGATGGTGCACCATGCCACACAGCTAAAATTGTAAAGAAGTGGTTTGCTGATGAAGGAATTCAAACCCTTGAAAATTGGCCTCGGTCATCACCAGATCTTAATGTTATTGAAAGTTGTTGGCATATTATGAAAGTAAAAGTTGCTGCCAAAAAGCCTAGATCCTATAATGATTTAGTTTATTTAATTACACCAGACTATTCTACAAAACAGCCAAAACGTATCCAAATGGTAATTGACAATAACTATGCTTCCATTAAATATTGAACTTTTATCATGTATGTGCATGTACCTATCATCTTTAAAATTGTTATAAACATTTAATAAAAAAAATGAAAAAATTTACTAATAAATTGTTTTTCACACAAATATATTGATTTCATAACATAAAAAATGATGTTCCAGGACTTTTGGCCACCACTGTATATATAAATCCTTAATTGAAGCATTATTTGCAGTAGCTTGTGCTTTTATCAGAAAACAAAGTTTTTAAAGCTGTTTTTTTATTTCTCTAACAAATCATTAGGCATCTTCTTTTCTTTAAGTTTAATTTCATGTTATTCGCAACTTTTTTTAATGTTCTTTTTCCAAAGTATTTCATGTTATCCATAACTATTTTTAATGTTCTCTTTCCAAAGTATTTCATGTTATCTGTAACACACTTCAAGCTTTTTTATGTTATCTATAACACAGTTTAAGGTTTTTCATGTAATTTATAACACCAAATTTTTTTTCTCTACCGTTTTCTCTTATAAAAAAACCCTCTACATGCTGTCATATAATCTTTTGTGATTTCTCTCATCTTTAAAAAAATCTCTTAATTTTCACCTGATCACAAAATAAATACCAGATTTTTCATTCACTTATCCACTTCACAGATCTATCTGTAACAGATAAAAAAAATACCAGATTTTTTATTTACTTATTCATTTCACAGATTTATCTGTAACAGATAAAGAAAGAAAAGAAAATGAGCTAAAACTATTAGACACATATATAACAAAGTGAATAAAATTCAACTGAAATAACAAAAGCATTTATGTGTCAGTCAGTTATTTGGTATAAAATATGTTTTTATATAATTTAAAATAGATTTACAGGTTATTTTTTCAATTTCACAATATATCAAAATTTACCAAATTAATTTTATTATATTTAAATGCATTTTATAAACTTGCATTTAAAACTTATAAATAAGAAAATTACCTTGGAAAATGCTCCAAAACTTTAATTCTAGTGTCTGCAGGGAGTTTCTCTTTTTCTGCTGAAAACTTGTCAAGAAGCTGCTGCTTCATTAGACAAAACACAGACCTTAAAAATTTCTTTCCAAAAATTGATGTCACATCATACTTTTGTAAACTATCACAAAAAAGTGGAACATGACTAAAGCACAGCCACCTGTAGAAATAAAAAAAGTAGAACATGACTAAAGCACAGCCAAAAATAAGAAATAAAAATAAATAGAAATTTAAAAAATATTAAAATAAAGATTTTTAAATCTTTAATAATTCTCCTCTTTTTTATCTTCTTTATCTAATTTTATAAACTAAAAAATATATCAATTGTTATTAATATGTGATATCAAATTTTTATAACGGGTGTTCACTTTAAATCCGGACTGACTTTAAAGGGTCATAACTCCATAATTTTTTATCAACTTAAAAAATAATAATAAATTCTTATAGAATCAATTCTTGATAAAATACCCTTTGCAAACTCTTGTACAAGATTGATATCAACTTTGCTGAAGCAATACACTATCCTTTTCCTTAGTTGTTCTAAATTTTCTGCTTGCCAATTATCCTTGTAAACTAAACCTTTTAATATTGACCAAAAATCCTCAATAGGTCTTGCTTCTGGTACATTTGCAGGGTTATCTTCTTTTGGTACAAATCTGACGTTTTGTCCATTTAAATAGCTTGAACAGATTTAGCATAATGAGACGTCATCAGATCTGGCCAAAATACGAATTGACTGTCTTGATGATGCTCTTTAATAAAAGGAATAAGACGTTTCTTAATACAATCTTCTAAGTAGATTTTTTGATTGATTGCAAGACCACTTTGACGGATTAGAATTTTTGACATTCCTTTTACAGAAAAGGCTACCCAGACCAGGAGCTTGGGTTCATACTTTCGCTTTGTATAACATTTGACACTAGATGGGCAGAGGTTTATGTCACTTGTGTAGAAGTTATTGTTTCCGTTGATTGATGAAGAGAAAGAGTAAAATAAGATTCATCATCAATGATCCAATCAAATTTGCTAAAAGCTCGATATAATCTACCACACTTTTTTTTTGCCATCAGTTTTTGATCATCAGTTCGATGTGGAATCTTTTTCTTCTTTCTTTTCTTGATCTTTGATTTTGTCTGAATAATTTTATGGGCATAAGAAGCTGATATTCTAAATTTTCTACCTGCTTTCCTATAAGAAACGCCATCATGATGATCAAACATTGATTTTAACGCTTGTACTTTTTTTTGGGTCATTTTTAGAGCTTTTTTTCCTGAACCAGGACGTCTAAGATATCCAGAATCGTCATCAGCACATTTAATTATATCATAGATGGTCGATCTGGCAATTTTTTCTTTTTCAAAATGATCTACGGTGTACTTTTTGCCTTTTTCTTTATTTTCAATATAGAAGTTGTACACACATTTTTGAGTGTCGTCTTGTTTAGGTTTCATTTTCAATTTGAATAATCATTCAATCTAAATATAAATGTAGCATATTAAAGCTAAATTTAAACGCTTTAAAATAATGTATCACATGGTACAATTGCAATACATTATGTCAGATTTATATTGACTTAAAGTCAGTCCGGATTTCAAGTGAACACCCGTTATATATATACATACATATAAGGATAAAGTCATGCATCATTTATTATCTAACGATCTTCTCTCCCAATGTCAACACGGATTTATAAGCAAAAAATCATGCACTACAAACTTACGTGAAACTACGGACTTTTTGCCTTACACTGCATCACAAAAGCTACCTGTTGATGCCTTATTTCTCGATTTTGCCAAAGCATTTGACAAAGTTCCTTGCAAAAGGTTACTAAAAAAGCTTGAATCTTATGGAATTAGTAGAAACTAGATGAGATCGGCCCCGTAAAAATACGGGTCTTTGTATATCTATTCCAAACCAAACTTTTCTATACTTTTTCCTTATATATTCTAGCTTTCCGGATCCATAAAATACCGGTCTTTACCAATTTACATATCTATTTCTAGCCGAAAATTTCTATACCTATTCCTTATTTACTTCATTATTTTTTAGTAAAATAATTTATTCTAAAAAAAATTTAAGAGCAAAAAACTAAACATGCCCACCTTTTCCGCATATGTAGAGCTTATAAGATACTTATAGTTAGCTTTGTTTTTCTGCTAAATGCATTTCATTGATAGCTAAGTGATTAAGTGCGCTGTCATCAGAGTTGTTTTGGAGGGTTTAAGACCTCCTCTTAGCGTAATAAGTTTTGAGATTTTTTCAATCTTGCTTATATATTTATAGCAAAAAAATTATAATATAGCAAAAAAGATTTCTAAAATTTAAAATAAAATTTTAAAGTTTTCTCATTTAATAGATATATAAGATAATATGTAAGATAAAAAAAATTTTTAATAAAATTTTAAAGTTTTCTCATTTTGCAGATGTATATATAGATGCAATTATTTCATATAATGCCTCGCGGTTGGCCAAAGAGACCGCCAGGTTTTATGTCTTGTCACTTGTACAAATTTTTTTTTATTTTAGAGTATTAGTAGTTTACTTATAAAAAAAGGGTTTTTTAAAATCCGAATACGGTGCAAAGGGTCAAAAAAGGGCAAGAAAAGGCCAATGCAAAAGTTTCTAGCCTCATATTTTTATAAATGATTATAATAACAAATTTTATTCTGATTAAAAATTGTATAGAAACATACGCTTGAAATTTAATGAAAAGTTCTCTATTTTACATTTGAAACAAAAAATTTATATATTAAAATGATGAAATTCGACATCTTTTTGAATATCTTTTTTGCAACTTACATAATTTAACCGAACTTCTTACAACATTTAAAATACCTGGTTTTTATTAACATCAATTTTAAATAATGACTTACAAATTTATTAGAAGAATTTAAAAGTTAAAACATTTTTTAAATAATGAAAATAATAGCCGCTTTGTATTTTCTATTTATATGTCAACGTAAATTAATAATAATAAATTAAGCAACTTTTTAAGGTAAATTTTTTAATGAGAAAATCAAATCCAGGCTTCATAATTATAAAAGATTTTTAAATTGTTTTTAGTTAAGCGTTAACTAATTTTTCCCGATCTAGTAACTTTATATGAAAGGAATTTTGCATTAGCTTTTTTTTAATATTGCAATTTAAAGTTTTCTCAAGATTAAGTATTTTAACTTAACGTTGTATTTTTTTTGGATATAATTCACATTGATTTCAAAAAATTTAATTGGCTGGTGTTAGCATGTCAACTGCTTCTTTTCAACGAAATGCAACATGTTGTTGCTGCTGGGAATTTTTCGGAGCAAGGTCATTGTTTTTATCTCCTGTAAATTCAACAATAGAAAATTTGAAGAAGCTGTATATATATCCCGGTTATTCCCTGGAAATTAGCAGTTACCCAACTGCAGTTTGTTCCAGTTGTAGAAGAAATCTTTACATGATCAAGTCCAGTAATACACCTAGAGGCTCGTGGGGAGAGAAAGTATCAAAGGTAGAATGTAAAACTATATTTTAAACTCATTATTTCTGTCAAGTTTTTTTAAGCTATTAAGTTTTAAGATTATTAATATTAATTTCTTTAGATATAGATACCATCTATATAGAAATCGATAGTCTTAAAAAAATACGCTTTAATAATAATTAAAAAAACGTTAAAAACGAAAATAACCTTATTACGTAAAAAAGATATACCATTACTATTTATAGCAAATTCTAAATTGTAATGAAGCACTTATATTTATATAATTTTGTATTTCACTTTTAAAGGTTGAATGGAAAATGTTGACCAGAAATTCAAATGGAATGCTCCCAATTAGTGAAACCGAATCAGTTATATCTTTTTCTGCCAATAATTCAAAGCTCTGTGGACAATGCTACTCAATCTTATCAGCAGGACATGTCCACAACTGTTCTTCATCAACTGCTGTAAAAAACTTGATTTTTCTATCCGAAAGTCTAGGGAGCATTCAAGCTGAACAAGTTGCTTCAGGTATAATACAAAATAAAGTGAGTGCAGACTGCATTTCAACACGGACAACATTTTCTTTATCAACTGGGGGAAACCCGTTGGATGTAACTGTTGGATGTCCTTCTAACAAGGTAAATAGAAGATCAGTAAAACAAGTATCTTTACAAGTTATAAAGGAACTTCAAGTTGTATTAGAGCTTTCTAATAAAAAGACCAAACAATTAATTTCTACTCTTCGGAAAGGAATAGGGAATAAGACTGTTGTAGAAACTAACATTTTTGGCAAGTTAAATGATCTTTCGGAATCCACATCACATTTTTATCATGTAGAAAAGGTAATTTATATTTTAAATATATTCATATTTATATATTATTTATAGATATCTAGTAATATATTGATCAAAAAATTGCTCTTTTATGATGTTAGATTTTCTAATATAAAATGATATGCAAAAAAGAGAGAGATCCTTCACTGTGAATAAAACATCCTTATCCTATAGTAAGATAGAAACTGATCTTATATTAGATCAGACAAGGCTTTTTTAACTTATTACTTTGAATACTAATCTTCCTATTGGTTGTAAAATATATTCCTAATTTTCATAACAGGCTAACACCAGGAAAGACATTTGGTTGTAAAAAAAGTTGCTTTAACTCTTCCATAAGCCATATAAATATATAAAATGCCATTAAAAAAAATATGTCCTAGCCAAACAAGTGTGTATTATTTATATAAGCATTATTTGTTATGGCTAAACATGTTTATTCATTACAAAATGTACTTATACAATGTGTAACCATCAATATATGTAAAATATTATTTGTAAAATAGTGAAGCTAATTTAAAGTTAAATGATATTTGAATTAGATTTTGAATAATTTACATAAATATTTTGTGTTTTTTATTAATCTTTAAGTTTTCTTAGTAATTTTTATGTACAATATAATGACACTATATGAATGCGACAAAATAATGACACTTATCTATTTATACATCTTTACAGATAGATTTCCTTGACAATGAATTGGGAATTGTTGAAAAGGATCTTGTGTATGTTCAAGAGTCATCATCTTTCACAATGGATTTGATTAACCAACATGGTTTAGACGTTCATTCTGCATTTGTACGAATTTCTATGGATAGTGGAGGATCCTTTTTGAAAATTATAATCAATGTTTTTGATGTAAATGAA